AGCGTGAGTAACGAGGGCTCCGTCTCCTGGTCCCAGGGTCTTCACTGATAGAATGACAGAGCCCTTCCTACCTTCATGGCTGTGGTGAGGATGAGGATTTGACTAGATCATGAATGTGAACAAGCTTTGCAAACAAGATGTGAGGTGTGAGTATTAACAGTTTTTACCCTAATTATTAAGCATGATGGGGCAAGGAACAGTGTGCTGCTAAGGCCAAAGGGACTAAGCTAAGAGCCTGACTCTCTCTTCATTCTGGTTCTACTTTGTGTTTTCTGAAAAGGGTCGTGCACGGAACTCTACCTGATGACAATGGACACAGCATGCCAGTTTACACTGGGTTTTCAGGAGACCTCCTCACAGTTCTGAGCCCTCATCAGGCCCTGTCCTTCCGCCTAGTGAGCAGCTACCTCTTTAGCGTGTTCAAAGTCTGGAGACATACAGACCCCAAACAATTAAGTGGCTGTGGTCTGAAAACTATGTAACTTCATAAAACATCAACCATTCTGGAAACATTCATACAAAATAGATGACGTGTGTAGCTAGGCAAAACACACAGGAGTGGAACCACTGAGCAATCTTTTTCTCATTACCAGTTGAGTCATCTGGGCTAGGATCAAAATTTAGCCATTCCACACTCAAAGGGTATGCAGACAACAGGATATCATGGTGGACATAAAAAGAATCTTCTTCTTGATTATAAACTGAAAAGATTGGGAAAAGAGACTTTATCACATCAGAGTAAGAAATCATATCCCACTCAAAAGAACAGAGACTCCCTTTTAAACCTATGGCAGTCACTTGCTTAAAGTCATACATTTAATACACTTAAAGTGATGACATTAAAGAAATTCTGAAGTATGTACTGTTAGGCAAAAGTTTTTCATGTCTAATATATTCCTAGTACCTGGTGAGCCCCAGAGGGGAACACAAACACTGACAGAAAATTGTCATCAGGCTGAACACTCCATCTGCATGTTCCCTGGCTAAAACGCTCCGACCTTCTGGTTCACCGACTACAGAAAACGCTCACACGGTCTCCATTAAAAGTGCTTCATCACTATTTTATCTTTTAAAGATCTATTTGGTCATAAGTTCAAACAAGTCAGTACTGGAGAGAAATAACTCATAGTTTTAGAAATTTAAATGCTTATCAAAAATTGCTTCTTTAATACTTATTATTAAAATCAGTAAGAAATCTTAAAAATTATATAATGAAACACTGATAAATATAGAGCCTAAGTAACCAGAAATTCTCCCCTAATACGCTTTTTACTAGAAAGAAGCAATTTAAGATGAGCTAAGGATTTTTAAAAAATTCTTCAGACCATGGTATTTGGGGTAGATCTTGGGACTAGCAGATTCCATGTAATGTTCTATCACATCACTTTAGGATGTGAATGTGTGTTCAAAATTATTAACTTGTGGTCCTGTAAGAACTTCAATGATGGTCAATGTACTCAGCTTACATTTTAAAGAAAGATGACGATGAAACCTTAAAACAATCTTCTTTTGACCATGTCTTTTTTTCAGATTTAGAGAGAGATTTTGAAATTATTCCTGAACAGAGATACACCACGTAACTTGGTAGATTCACACCAAATCCAAATAAAACATATCATTAATGACCTAACTTAGAATGAAACAGGAATACAATTACTTTAACTTCTCAGCTCCTGTGAATCACAAGATTCAAAGGAATGACTAAACTTTCAAATAAGAATGTATAAAAATCAGTGATGACTAACTGTAATAGTTCCAATTTTTTGAAACTGGAATTGGTCTTTAAAAAATTCCACCAACATGGCTTACATTTAAAATATGTAAAAAGTTTAAAGATAATTAGAAGAATAACTTCACATTGAAATAATTGCTATTTAAAGTCCTTTTGATTGTATAAATAGATTACAATGGGCCATGAGATAAAAATGGCCTAACTGCAACAAACTTAAAGGCTGTAAAGAAATCCAAGTTAATAGAATACGAGTAACCTAGTAACGAGGTGCCAATAAACATTAAGCCCAAGGGATTTAATTTTCATACTATGTAACTGTGTTTCCTATAAAAAAAAGGTATTAACCTAATAACCTCTTTAAGCGTCAAAATTTTAAGACAGATGAGTAGAATCAACTAAAATGAGATAGAACAGGACCTGGTGCCTAGAAATCCATAGTAGTTACTATGATGGTTATTTTAATATCACTTAAGTACAGAACCTTTTAGTAAGAGGTGTATTCCACTTACCATGCACCTCTAAATTGCACTGGTCCTGTTCGGCTCTGCCACAAACTATGAGATTGTCACTGGGCTTAATCAAGAAATCTTCACGTTCATATTGCTCCTAAGTGGAAACAGGAAAAGTCATTGATTAGAATCAGCTATTTGGGAAGGTTTTTCAAACACTTAAGGAGGATAATTAGAAAAACCACATAGATGTTTACCGTATCTTTCAGAGTGACGTAAGGATCTTGATCATTACTCCCATAGACTGTAAGACCCAAGAGAGATTCACCAAGAGTTTCAGCATCTGTAAGAATTCATACAATGAAATGAATAAGCCCGTCCTTTAGACTAAAGCATTTTTCCTAAGACATGGGCTTCTCTGGTGGCTCAGAAAGCAAAGAATCCGCCTGCAACGCAGAAGACCTGGGTTTGATCCCTGGGTCAGGAAGGTCCCCTGGAGATGGAAATGGCTACCCACTCCGGTATTCTTCCCTGAAGAATTCCATGCACAGAAGAGCCAAGCAGGCTACAGTCTATGGGGTCGCAAAGAGCTGGACATGACTGAGCGGGTAAAATACACACACACATCCCATCTTTGAACTTAGATCCTACCGTCTATTTCATAACTAACTCTGAATCATTTATAACTGGGAAAGTAAATTGTAGATAATAATAAATAGGAATTTAAAAGCCATTTACTTTTTGTCCTGGAATGCACATCTAATAGTCTTGAAATATACACTCTTCCAATACAAGAATCAACTCAAACCAAGAAACCCCCTTCTAGAAAATATCAGAACTCTACTCAGATCTCTAGCTTGCTCCTTGTAATCATTATTCAAAAGTGCTACAGAGAGGTGGCCTTGTAGACCTGGAAATAAGTAGGTCCCTAAAACACTGGTATCAACACATTAAGTGTTGCCTGGTCAAAGAAAATTGTAAACTGATGAGCCTCATAAAGTGAAGTGGGTTTCTTTATTGCAAGATGTCTCATAACTGCTGACAGGCTAACTTGCCCAGTGAATCTGAAAGAGGAGATACTACCCTTTACACCAAATTTACTTCAAAGCGACATTCTCTCATGGCATGTCTACAAAGGTGACAGAATAGACCCCGAGGAACATAAAACTCAGAAGGAAGATACTCTCAATTTCCAGGGGAAGCTACTTTAAGGAGGCTGGGTTCTTCGGTCTTAAACACCTGACAGGTAACAGACGGGAATTTCTACGGGACAAGGCGGATGGAGCCAGTGCTCGGCGGGGTGTGGAGAGTATTAGGAAGCAAGCGTCTGAATGGCTTTGCTCTGGGCTGGTCAGCTCTCCCTTTTCTGCATTTCCATGGTGCTCGGTCCTAACAGGATGGAAGCCACCCAGAGCGGGGCCTACAGCCCAGAGTCCAGTGGAAAAAGTATGCCCTGCATCTGAGGAAGTACACTGAAGAGCATGAAGGTTTAGAGTCAGAGAATACTAAAACCTCAGCTCCATTATTCACCAGCTGTGTGACACTGGCCAAGTTATTTCACCTCTGTAAGCCTGTATTTTTTTCTGTAAAATGAAGCTAATAATTCCTCTCTCATTATTCCAGATAAAGAAAAATGAATTACAGATTAACCACTACTTGCAATAAAATACACAATACTAATTTTTTTTGTTTTGTATTTTAGATCTTAGATAAGTGGGTTGAACTGATTTTTTTAAACCGGTGTAGGAAACATGCTGTCTGCCTTGAGCCTTGACCCAGATTATCTGACTGACATAAAGGACGATGGGATTTCAGAGTAAAGCTCTGGAACACTAGTATCATGATCTAATGCACTGAGTTTGTGACTAAAAACCAGTATAAGTGACTAAATTCTAACCTGGGTCGCCTTCCTCATCATATTTATCTAAGTCGTACTCGGCCAGCTCGTCATCATGCAGTGTCCTGTCATCTTCTGGGTCGCCATCCTCCAGGGGCCCCCGTGGTCGGGCCTGGGTACGGGCACTCTGCATGCCATCCTCTGAAGGATCGCCTGTTTCTTCTTCATCACTGCCACCTTCTTCTCTACGCCAGAGAAAAAAGAAAAAGTAAAAAGATCAGCCAAAAGGCACCGTTCAATAATAAGACCACCTTGTTATCATAGTTTTAGATTTACATTTTATCTAGACTTGACTACAGGAATCAACATCCCCAAACTTACTGTAATTTTTCCTTTGCTTCAGTAATGAGACGTTTCACTTCTTCTTTACTAAGTTCTACCTATAAGAGAGCAAACATTTCATTATGATATATTTAAGGAAACCATTTTTAAGTCTCTGAATTAAAAAGATTGCAAACTAATCTAAAACATGGTTTTAAGAGACATCCAGAGTCAAATATCAATCTAAAGTCTCTAAATTTAACATAAATGGACTTCTGACATGTCCTTATAAATGAAGATCCCTTCTCACCCAGAACTGTTCAAAAATCATGTTCTCTCCAGACTTTTTAAAAAAAAAGATGGACTTCTATAGACTGCCTTCTGTGACAGCTCATCTCATTTTCTTCTGATTACCTCACCTCGGCGGCCACTCTCCCCATGTTCCCTGCGGATATTCCCAAACAAAGCACTCCTGCCTTCGTCCCCTGCCCTGTTCCCTGGCATCACTGCCAAGAATTCACTCACTATACTGTCACCAACTTGCAAAGCTCATTCTCTCTGAATGGATTACTCAACTTTCCCTTCTCTATCCCTGTGCACTGTAGTTCCATTTTTCTGACTATCTATAGGACTCTCCACTTGGACATCCTATTCAAAACTGGTCATCCTCTTTAGTGCCAAACTGTAAGCTTACTGTGTTCCGTCCATTCTTGATAGATGATGAACCAATCAACCACCCAGTTTGTACCAAAATGCCTTTAATAATACAGAAATCCTATTGGATAACTCCAGAAACTAAAGGTTCTTAAAATTTTAATTAGGAGATACTTATTTTTCTAATTTCTCTTACTGCTTTGAATTTTTCTTTCTGGGACTTTGTAGAATAAATCCAATCTCTTCTTCCTACAAACTCTTAAGCAATGGTTCTCAAAGCTGTCTGTACATTAGAATCACCTGAAGGACTCTTAATCTTGGGCTAAATTAAGGACTCTTAATCTCCAAACTAAATAAATCACAATACCTGGGAGCTGGTAGTTTTTGAAGCTCCCCAGGTGGTTTCAATGTGTGGACATGTTTGGAAATCAGTGTCCTCAAGTATTTGAAAGTCTCTGGTCCCCTTTTTACACAACTCTTGCTTCCTTCAGTAATTTTTAATATATCATTTCCTGTTCCTATTCTATATGCATGCTCAGTCGTGTCTGACTGTTTGCAATCAGATGGACTGTCCTCTACCAGGCTCCTATGTCCATTGGATTCTCTAGGCAACAATACTGGAGTGGGTTGCCATGCCCTCCTCCAGGGGTATCTTCCCTACCCAGGGATAGAACCCGCCTCTCTTATGTCTCCTGCATTGGCAGGTAGGTTCTTTACCATTAGCGCCACACTGAATGCCTACCGTGTGCCTAATGCTGGAGAAACTGGAGAATAAAACAGTCTATGTCCTGGTGGAACTGGCTTAATAACCTGAAACAAACACTACCCCGCCCGTTTTTTTCATTAACATCTATTCCCACTGACAAAGAATTATATATGCACATGTCAACTCTATAAAGGCAGGGACTTTTCCTGTTTTGCTCATGCCTATCTCAGGACCCCGAACAATGCTGGGAACAGAGAAAGCACTTCGTTAAATATCTGTTGAATAACTTAGGTAATTTCCTCGGCTACAGACTCAGTCTCTCCTGTAGGCTTTACCCCTTCATAACGTGTTACCGTTTACCTCTAACACCCCACCCCCATGGCCTCATCAACATTTCATTTGCACTATTGCGAGAAACTCCTAATTCAGCTCTCGGGCTCACGACACCGTAGTCTCACATTAGTTTTTCTACACCGTGGTTTTCTTTTTTTTTTTTTTTTNTATTTTTATTAGTTGGAGGCTAATTACTTTACAGTATTGTAGTGGTTTTTGTCATACATTGACATGAATCAGCCATGGATTTACATGTATTCCCCATCCCGATCCCCCCTCCCACCTCCTCTCTACCCGATCCTTCTGGATTTTCCCAGTGCACCAGGCCCGAGCACTTGTCTCAAGCATCCAACGTGGTTTTCATCCAGTCCATTCCTCTAAACGCCGAGCGGAGATATGTGCCCCCTCTTCCCGGTTTGCCTGAAAACGCACTAGGGTGATGTGGCGTTGTCAAGAGGGCTCGCAGGAAGTGCTCAGCAAGCACCATCCCGCCTCCTTCCAGCCAACGAGGTCCACGTGCGTGCGAATCGCGGGGGAAGGGACGGCTAGGGGGCGGGTCCCAGACCCTCGGAGCCATAGCCCTAGCCACGGCAAAGAGGCCACAGCCGGCCCCAACCCCGACAGTCCCACTAGCGGCGCCAGGGCCGCGCGTTCCGGGTCCAGGTTCCCAGGCGGCGCTGACCCAGGATGCTGCAGAGAGGCCGCTCCCCCTATACCTCGGAGCGACCAGGCCTCACCTTGTCTGGCGTCTCTTTGGCCACGCCGCAGCGGACCCAGGCCACGCACGTCACCTGGCGGCTGCGGTTCATGGTCCTCGGCGCAGCGACGCCTCACGCTACAGACCTGCCCCGGCGGGTCTGGAATCCCCCGCAGCCCTTCGGCCGGCACGCTCCGAGAAGGGCTCCGGGCCGCAGCTTGGGGCAGAGCGTAGGCGCTGGCCACCGGTTCCTTAGGGGTTGTCGCCCGCTTCTGACGTCATTCGAAAGCGCCGAACGGGAAAAGGGTGGGGAAACAGTTGCTCCGAGGCAGCCGGGTCAGGAGTCCACGAGGGCTAGGCTGCTGTGTACGTGGTGTGAATGGGTTTTAGAAGACATCCTTGACGATGTCTGCGGGCTGCGTGGGAGTAATGAATAAATAAATGAAATTGGAACTGTAAAGGTCAGAGCCAGATTTACACCAACCTTTATTTTTCCTCCATGTTCTTAGAGCTGACAATGGTAGAGGTTTTAGGACTGTTTTTAAAAACTTTCTCCAAACTGAACTTTTTTTTTTTTTTCCCTTATTCTTCTTCTCTGGATGGGCGGGCTTGTGGGATCTTAGTTCCCCAAGTTTGGCAGAGCAGTGAAAGCCCCAGCCTTACACTGGATGACCAGGGAATTCCCCCAAATGAATGATCATTTCAGGGAGATAGTTTAGCCATTACATTTCATTACATTCTTGCGTGTTATTTATATACTAAGTACAAGGTAGTGGTTTTAGCAGCAGCAAACACAAAGTGCTTGATATATACAGGAGGCACCGTTTTAAGTGCCTTATGTAAACTTGGTAACTTCTTAACCCTTTGTGGGAGATCTTACTCCCATTTTACACATGTGGGAATATAATCTTTCCCAAGGCCACAACAGCTAGTGAGTAGCTAGGATACTGCCAACTACAGATTGGCACTTACCATGGGCATTTGCTTCCCTGGTGGCTCAGATAGTAAAGAATCTGCCTACAATGCGAGAGACCTGGGTCTGATCCCTGGGTTGGGAAGATCCCCTGGAAGAGGAAATGGCAACCCACTCCAGTATTCTTGCCTGGAGAATCCCATGGACAGAGGAGCCTGGTGGGCTACAGTCCATGGGGTTGCAGAGAGTCGGACACGACTGACCAAATAACACTTTCACACACTATGGACACTTGCCACCTATCTCTACAAAAATTAAATCATGGACTTCTGTAGCTGCTGACCTTCAATACCCTGTGAAACTAGTTCAGGGCGGGGAGCAGAAATGAGGCTCTTAGTGCTGGGGAAAAACTGGTAGGACAGGTCATCAGGTGGTTAGATATTTTCAAGAGCTTATTTTCTTGGCTCTATGACCCTGTCTTGGTCACTTGCCCTCTCTGACCTTCATCTCCCTTCCCTACATCTGAGACTGGCAAGCAAAACAGGAGGGTGGTTGTTATGGAGAGAGTGGTGGCAAAGAAAACCAGCAGCATATGCTCTGCCCCAGTTTTATTGTCAGAATGGGCTGTCCACATATGGGGTCAATTTGTGGGCAGTTTGCAACCCATTTTCCTTACATAAAATAGTTGGTTTTATGTAAAACCAACTTGGTTTTGCAACAATATTGATGAAACATGATGAAAAATTACCTCCATTTAATTTTTTCCAATATTTTGGCCACACCATGCGCCTTGCAGCATCTCAGTTCCCTCACCAGGGATTGAACCCCAGCTGCAGGAGTGAAAGCCCTGAATCCTAACCCCTAGGCCAATAGGGAACTCCCCCTCTATTTTAAAGGTGAGGAAATTCAGCAATGAAAAGCCTTACTACCATGAGATCACACTCAGTTAGGGACTGGCAGAACTACAGCTAGACACCAGCAACTCTACGCTCAGCAGTACCCCCTTGGAACTTGCCCAGCCTGGGGAGGGATCCTCTCAGGCATGAACTGCTAATCCCTAGGGTAGGCAGAGTATGTGTTCATCTCTTCCAGGACTGTTTCTCTAAAGCAATTCCTCTGTAGCTTCTTTGCTTTTGGTCCATTTTATTTAAAAAAAAATTTTTTTTATTTATATTTATTTACTTATTTGGCTGTGCCAGGTCCTAGTTGTGACATGTGGGATCTTTAGTTGCATTCACACACTTAGTTGCAGAATGTGGGATCAACTTCACTGACCAGGGATTGAACCCAGGCTTCCTGCTTTGGGAGCACGGAGTCTTAGCCGCTGGATCTCCAGGGAAGTGCCCTGCTTTTGGCCCATTTTTAAAGGTGGTATGACAGGCTGTATTTTTCAAAAATGACTGTAACAATATCTTCTTCCAGACATGTTTTTCCACTATGTGTTCTTGATGCTCCCCCATCAAAACCTGGGGTCTAACTCTGCCCACATCAGCCTTGAATTTGGATAGGCTTATGACTGCTTTGACCAATATTCAGCATGACAGAAGTTCCAAGGTTAGGTCATAAATAGGATGCAAGTTCTACCTTTTCTCCCCCAGTGAGACACTTATGTTTGGAGTTCTGAGCTGCCATATACATAGGCTGACTACCCTGAGGCCACTATGTTTTGAGGAATCCAAACCACAAGGAAAGGCCACACGTGGGTGCCCCAGTAGACAGTCCTAGTTTTTGAGTCAAGCCAGACGCATAAATGAAAGAGCCTTCACACAGTTCCACCACACAGACACTAACCCTTCCTCTCAGCCTTTGAGTTTTTCCACCTGAGACCCAGGCCCTGTGGAGCAGAGATGAGCCCTCCCCACTGCGCCTTGCCCCCAATTCTGACCCCTCTCCCCTGAATCTGTGAGCATAGTTAAATGGTTGTTTCAAACCCTTAACTTTTTTTTTTAATCCTTCCATAATTCTTCATTGTGGTTAAATGTACTATAAAATTTACCATTTTAACCATTTTTAAGTGTACAGTTCAGTGGCATTCAGTACCCAACCACTAAGCTTTGAGGTCATTTAAAAATGCAGCAATAATTATGGGAACAGGCAAGAACCTGGGCTATATTTAGACCAGAGCACATGAGCTGATTTATGAGTAAAGACTGGCTTATTAACATCTGGCTGGGCTTAGGTGTACACACCTGGCATGCAGGAGTGGGCTCGTATTTGAGTAGTTGCCTCTGGATTCATTTACTCTGGGGCTGCCCTCTCATGGGACAGCTGCTGCTCCATGACGGTGCTGGTTCAGAGTGAGTATTTGATAAGTATTTGTTAAATGAGTAAATAAAGAATAGAAAGTGGAGTATGGCTCTAGCTACCTTGGGCCTGCTGAACTTAGACTCTTTTACTGGGTTTAGATCTGACATTCTGCCACTTCAACCCAAGCTGTGAATTCTCTTTACGATTGAAAATCCAACTGTAGTTGGCATTATTAGTTCCTTATAACAAGAATTGAAAGAGATCATGCTTAAGTAGTTGCATTTCTAAGCCTGATTCTTGGGAACACTGATGAGCGTATTTAACTCAGAAAAGTCTCTTTGCCAGAGGCCAGAAAAAAAACTGTACTTGGTAGCATGTTGGCTTTTCATTCTTAGAGCTAAAGGTCTCAGAAGATTGGACCCAAGCCCACGCAAGGCTGTCATTACACCCTTTAGCTCAGTGCTGGGTATAATTAGGCTCATAAACATGATTTCTGATTGGTCCCAAGCCAGAGAAGGAAGTGAAGTGCGTGGTACCCCTACCCCCATTACACTAGGCTCTATTTCTTGCCTCTCCTATAGCTAACCTTACAATATTAGTTAGCTGACAAGGAGTAGAAGGATATTAATAGCTACCAGTTACTAAGTGGTAGAGACTTCTACCGCAAACAGATGTTGCCATGACACAATCAATTTTATTTTTCTAGAACTGAACTTTTCATTTTCACGAAAACAGGAACCATCAGGGCCTTGTTACTAGAGTAGAGCCCATCAGTACCTAGCATGGCACCTGGCACAATAAATGCTGTTAATATTTGTTGAATCAATGAATGGTTTGCTTGCTTGCTCAGTTGCTTCAGTCATGTCTGACTCTTTGGACCCTGTGGACTATAGCCTGCCAGGCTCCTCTGTCCATGGGGATTCTCCAGGCAAGAGTACTGGAGTGGGTTGCCATTTTCTCCTCCAGGGGATCTTCCCAACCCAGGGATCGAACCCGGGTATCCTGCATTGCAGGCAGATTCTTTACCATTGAGCCACCGGGGAAGTCCCAAGTGAATGCTTATCAGAGTTCTAAACTGAAGTCCACAGACATCAGGCAACTTGCATAGAGTCACATAGTTAGTAAATAGCAACATACCACCCTGACTTTTAGCACAGAATCCTTTTCTCTATGCCTCAAGTTTTCTGGTAGACTTTTTCATTCATTCATTTATCTGTCAGAACTCTTCCAGATGCAAGTGACAGATAACCAAACTCTAATTGACTTGGGCAAGAAATGGAATTTACATGTTCTGACGACTCAAGGAAGCAATGACATAAATGGCTTCAGACTCAAGCTGGATCCAGGGGCTTAACCCATGTCATCAGGATTTTGACTCTCTCCCATTTTCTGTCTCTATTTTCCAATGCATTTAGCTAATTCCAGGCCTTCAGCAGTTTGCAGCTTGTATTGCTTGCTGTCCTAACAGAAAAAGCACTTGCCTTTATAAACTCCGCTTTTCTGTCTCATTTGTCTCCTTGGTTCTGAAATGGTCACTTGCCCACTCCTAAACCAGTCACTCTAGTCAGGAGAAGGTGATGTTTTGCTTGGTTGGAGCAGAGCACGTGTCCAACTCTGGAGCCAGAGAGGAAGTCAGCTCTTACATGGAGCATGTGGGTGAGAGTGTGGAAGAGGAGAGTTCTTTAGAAGAGAAACAGAGATGCTGCTCCCAGCAGTGGGCTGGAAGGAAGAACTGATGCTCAGGACGTTCATAAAATGTTTTCTCTGAGATTTCCATGGTGGTCCAGTGGCTGAGACTCTATTCTCCCAACACAGGGTGCCCCATGTTGATCCCTGGTCAAGGAACTAGATCCCACAGGCTGTAACCAAGAGTCCACATGTTGCAACTAAAGATCCCACATGCCACAACAAAGAACGAAGATCCCATGTGTGGCAACTAACACCTGATGCAGCCAGATAAATAAATAAATATCTTAGATTTTTTTTTTTTAAAAAGCCCATTTTCTCTGACATCTTTGTGCAGAGCTCTGTCTGAAAGACAGGGAGCTGCAAAGATGAATATACCATAGTCCTCCCCCCAAGAGGAGCTGACACC